CAAATTATTCTGTTGTCAGTATGTCAAATTTGCATGGTCTTTAGGCTGAGTTTAAGTTGTATTTCTCTTGATTAAAAGCTTTTGGTTCAAAGCAATACTTTTTAATTGCCTAATGATATAAGTCACTTCTTAGGAAAGAGCCATGCATTTAGGAGTTCATTTGCAATATAACTGAAAAATTCATTGCATGGCAGTAAAACAATTTACTGTTAATTACAAGGAGAAGAATTTGCTGTACCATGCTCACAGATTGCCATGAATCATGCAGCACTCCTAGAGATTTATAACAGATGTGTAAGTGGGATGAATTAGCAGGGTTTAATAACAGAGACACAAATCATGCAGACTTCAAGGAGCTTTAATTGATATACTAGAATGTGACGGGCATGAATCACTCAGCCATTCAACAGCTCTGTAACATATGGTCAGCTCAATATGCTGCATCTTAAATCGGTTGGTGAGTTGTTGGTTGTCCCATATGGTGGAAGCAATATATTTTTAAGGACTTTAAAAAAAAAAAACCACCATCACATTTACTTTTTTAAAAAATAAAATATGATTCAATATGCTCATAATAAGGTGAACTCTTAAAACTTGTTATGTATGTTTAAGGCATATTATATACAAATTCTGTAAACAGATTTTCTGAAAGAGCTGCTTGAAAGATTGCAGTTTTCAATGGAAACATGTAGTTTTAATCATTCTATATACAAAATGTATACCTTACTAAACCCGAGTTTCTTGCCAATGCTTTATCTAAACTCACCTGTCCCTTCTCTACTAGAAGAATTTGTATCATGAAGGAGTTCCAGGGAGAAGAGCTAACATACATACTTACCATTGCAGCAATCTCACTTTACAGTCTAGATCAGTCTTTCTCAACCTCAGCAACTTTAAGATGTATGGACTCCCCAGGCTGGGTGGAAAGTTCTGGGAGTTGAAGTCCATACATCTTAAAGTTGCTGAGGTTGAGAAAGACTGATCTAGATGTTTAAGCACTGCTGCAAAAATTGGACTTAATTTTCTACTATATATAGCTCCCTTTCACTTGTATGACATTTTTATGATTGCTTATTGTTGGGTTTCAGCATTTATGTTAGCATTTTATTATGGTCTTTCAATTTATTTCACTTTTAAAATTCTGCATTGTTTTAAACTATTCCATAAAATTTCAATATACTATTAGAATGTTGTATTTTAAATACAGTACAACCACAGTTTCAGATTAAGGGAAGAGGTTTCTTTTAAATGTGAAATCTGTTGAATCTGGGTCCTTTAAATTAATGTTTTCCTGGAAATGCTTACTCTATTGCTGACTAACGTTTCCTTGTCTGAAGTGCTGAACCCAATCTATACAGTCAGGCCTAATGATCAACCTCGCTAGGTTAATGTGAAGTCAGCTGGGATGATGGAGACCTTACATTGCTTAAAACATTCCTGGGATATAACAATAGTCAAATCTCTCGAGTGAATGAGTGATCTTCCACTCTCTGGGCAAGCCTCCAATTACACATTTGCTTACAAAGTGAAATTGTGCATGAGACACAAATGCTGTTTTTTAAAAATGGATAACCCTACATGTCACTATTCAAAAGGTTGAAATTATAATGAGCAGTTGGCAAAGCATAAATGAGACTGTATCTTCATGAATGTTACTCAAGGTTCTACTAGAAATGTAGCTATTTAGAAATTTGATGAAAGAGGAAACTTTAAGAAGCATATTTTTTGAGATAAAGCCAAGAGCACTAAGTGCTACCTGTATAATATTTCACTGAGGGGTTCCTTTTAGTATAAATGCATGAAAGAAAAGTAGACCAGTAAAGATTTAGTAACTCTAATACAGATGCATTTTTATTAGCTTTAAAACCTGACATGCTATAGGAAAGCTTTAGCAGCTGCATTAGTAAACCTGACAGATTTGCAAAAAGAATTCACTATCTTTAGAAGCACGGTTGCCAGAATTTAATGTCAACAATTAAAATTTATTTTGATCCTCACCTAGTGTTTATTACTGTTTGTATACACAACAGACCTTACTAATACAGTGATGCACTATTAGATGGAAATACCATCTGTTCACAGTGAAATGTTGGCATCTGTCTTAGTTTCTAAAGCTAAAATGATATTGGTTCAAACAAAACAAAGTTAACTGCTCTTTACTTATCGACAATTACATTTTTCTTTCATGCATGCAGATATAATGTGCTCACGCAGAGACTTGCACACAAACATATTCATGGAAGGCTTTATCTTTTTTAAAAAATACTAAGCTATAAAATGATAGCTATACTTGATGTATCTTTAATATGAAACTGTATGGATTGTCTGTTGTTTTGATTTTTTGGGCATTCTCTTGTAATGGCAGACAGTGTAATAAATGTTTAATGTTTGAATGCTTTAGTTTGTGAATTATATTTTTTTACTGAGGAAATTTTAAAAGCCTGATATACTTAAAGTATGCAAAAATACAATTTAGTCTATTAAAACAAAAATGCTTTTATAGATGTACTATCTATAAAAGATCAGAATAAATTTACAGTAAATTAATAAAATGATAATTGCAACAGGTATCAGTCATAACTTTAGCAAACATATATTGTGGCTGTTAGCTTCTATTGTATATTGCATAAACAGTGATATAGAAATACATGCTATTTATTTATTGTCTAAAGGTTTCCCCCCCCTCCACGCACACATGTGATTTGTTGATGTGTAAATTTCAGAAGAATTCTTTATGTTAGGGCACATACATCGTGAATAATAAAAAACATGGTGTTTACAATTCTAATCTTCAACTAAAGGGATTGCTTTCTATTTCATATAGTATGAAATAATATTACTATTTAATATAGTACTATTTAATATATGTACCACAGTGCATTAACTGTAACTAGTACATTTATTTGTGCTGGAGTAGACTTGAAAATGATTAAAAAATCAATATTTTCCTGTCAAGGAAGTAAATGTTACAATGCATCTAAATAATTAAGTGCGCAAGTGCCATAAAAGCTTCAACTTTGGATAGGGAAGATGCTATAATTACAGTATAAGCCTCTCCAATTTATTATGAGAATTTATTTAAGGAAGATTTGCCGTTTGTTCTAAAGATGGCTATGTGTATTCATTTTAGGCAATAATTAATTTTACTGTTCTGTTTTAGTAGTTAGAAGCTGAATTGGAATATTAAATCCTGGCAGTTGCATTCAAAATGCTGACATAGCTGAATAACTCCAAAGGTGAAATTCCAATTGTAAAGTCCATGTTTTCTTTTGAAACCTGTGCATTAATGCTGCATTTCATTAGTGCTCAGTGCTACTTATGTGGGAAGACTTTTAACCTCACATGCCAGAACTTCAATTTCAACACAGTAAATTTTGACTAAAGCAGTATGATACTAATGAAGTCTAAATGATATCTGAACAAGAATTTATAATGCATAGCTTTTTTGACTCCCATCTTTTCCTTTATCTTAAAGTAATCTTTCTTCACACTATAGAAAAAATAATAGCAGTACATTAGATGTTCATATAAAATGCAAAAAAAATGTTTATGGTTTTATATACCAAACACTTTAAAGGTGTATTATTAATTTATTATGAACAAAGATCTTGCTGTTAACTCTTACACAATGCCCTGAATGAATTTACAGGATGCATATTTTACTTCACATTCTCTAAATGAATTATGTGCTGTATGATAACGGAAGCACCTGACTTTGATATATGTGGCATAGTTTAAGATTCCTCATGCAGAAAGCACCATTGCAGAGTAAATTTACAAAGTAACACTTGCTTAGAATTCACAATGGAACTTTATATCTGCAGGGATCTTTATATCTGCAGGGATTATAATGCATTCAATAGGAAAAGTGCTATTGTATGTTGCAATTATCCATATAATTGTCAACATAATCTGCCACACCCAGACGCAGAAAGCTTCAATTGGTGGTTGCATAGAGAATGTGGTGAAGCCTTGAAAGGTGATTTTGTTTATATAACCTGTAAAAAAATATGTTCACCAAAATACGAAAATACTTATTTTGCTCTTTTACCAAGCTCATACTGCATATGCTGTCCAGACGATTAACAGACAAAGCACATTAATAAATGATTTCCAGGCAGGGCACAATTTTTCTTAATAACATTCATATATGCATATACATGCAAAAGTATTATGTGGTACGCAGCTATGATCATTCCCAGTCCAGTTGCAGTACTTTCAAGTGAGAAATTATCCATCGGACCTGAGCTTAGATTTTCAATTTCCCACATTAGTGTTTATTCACTATCATGACTGCAGATAATGTAATTTGCCATTTAAGGAGAGAAAAGTCTGTGCAAAAAAATCTTATAGGTTTTTTTCATTTTAGCCAAGTTATATGTGCATGCATATTTGAAACACAGGCAAATGCTATGTATTCATAGTACATCCAAGTATGTAGACTTTTGCATCTATAAAGGCTTCTTATGGTGAAGTTTCTATCTTTAGAATTAATGTATACTAGCTCAGTTTGGTTTTTTTATTACTATTATTCAGTTTAAGATAGCACTATTGTGTTCTAACAAAGGAATAAACTACACCAATGCCAAGTCAATAATCACGTCATATTTGTGAGTCTTTTCTGCAAATATCATTGTATCTTCTTGTTCAAAGGAATTAATTTCTGCCATAATGTTTGCATTGTTTTTATGATATTAATGCGAAAATAATTTGCAAACAGTAAAAGAAAAAGCTAGGAGTGCTGTTCACTTAAACAAACAATTGGCAGATCGTATTTTTTCATTTTTAACAGTTTAAATATTATGTACAGTGGTATGACTACATAAAAATCTAAGGGATTTGAAACTAGATTGTGAATAGTTCCTTTGGTAATACTTTTTAGTACAAAGCATTAATTTCTTTTCTTTTCTTTCTTTCTTTCTTTCTTTCTTTCTTTCTTTCTTTCTTTCTTTCTTTCTTTCTTTCTTTCTTTCTTTCTTTCTTTCTTTCTTTCCAAATAGCTCCAGTTCAGCTAATAGCACCTAACACTGAAGGAATTAACAGCACTGTAATAAAGATAACTTGGTATGAGCCTGAAGAACTTAATGGACCTCCTCCAGTTTATCAACTGGAAAGAATAGATATATCCTTAGCAACATCAGATGTAAATGTAAAGAAAGGAACCCGTTTCCCAGGAAATGGGTATTACAAGTTTCCAAATTCTATGTTGCCTACAAACACCTACTTTACAGGTAAGGAAATTTCATTCATTCATTCATTCATTTTCTATAGCCATCCATCTCAGTCAATGATCCTGGGCAGCTTACAATTCAAAACTATATTATAACCAAACTACTAAAAACATTTTAAAATGACAAAAACTATGGGAACATCCAAAATAAATATATATATATATATAGCAGCCAAGATACTTGGCCAGTTATCAATACAGCCAGGAAACAGGGCCATTGACACATTCAGCTCTCCAAGCTTGGGAACATAGTCGGCCTTACAATAGGTTAACAGGATTGGGACCATTCTACTTTCCAAAGAGGATGTTTTACAGTTCTCTGCCACTGTGGAAAAAGGCCATTTTCTAGACCCTGCCAGCTGATATTCTTTGGCTGAAGGGATCTGCAGTATGTCCATTCTACTACATCTGTTTGGACAGGTAGAGACTCTTGGAAAAAGGTGATCCCCCTGCCCCCAAACCATAGTCTATACTATGTTTATTTCAAAACACTTTGGGGTACATTCTGATGGACATTTTCTTTGGATGGATTTCCTCCGGATTTGCTATTTTACTTTTCACTTTTTTCCCACATAAATCAATATTGTTTTTTAGAATGCCACTCTTCAGAATTCTTTTTATGTATCTTAATTTCTGGTGTGAGAACATATGGCATTATTTGTTCACCAAAGAAAAGCAAGTACTCTTCATCAGTGACATTTAATTGCACATGATATTTTTGTAAGTTCATACTACAGCTCAATTGGTAAGGGATTTGGGGAATTTTTGCACAGCAGTCTTTAGGGACAGTTGTTTCTACCTCTGTCCCAGCAGGCAAATCTCAAGTCAATATTTCATTCTTTTGCAAGGATACTGGAAGTCTACTTAGCCAGGCACAAATTTCTCTTTTTTTTCCTATATGTTAATAGTATTCCATGGATCACAGGAATTATACAATGCCCATCTTTTAATTGGATTAGAGGAGAGTTGCATGCTGATTTTGACAGCTTTGAAATGTAAACTTTGCATACTTAAGGGGTCGTACTGATGTTTCAGTATCATTAGAATAGAATAACGGAATAGAATACAATATTAACTTTATTGTCACTTTGAATGTATACTAATCGGCATACATTAAAATGAAATTTCACTGCATACAGCTCTCAAATGGTCACCACCAATATACACTACATAAATATGACAAAAATAAATAAATACAGAATTATGCACATACCCATATATATTATATGACACAGAGAAACAACACAGTCTAGTTCGAATTATGTATGCATTTGCAAGGCGAGAAAAATGAATATTGTGAGTTTACCAGATGGATGGCATAGGGAATAAAGCTATTACAGAATTGGGTAGTCCTGCTAGAAATACTTCAAAACCTCCTCCCAGAGGGGAGCAACAGAAACAGACCATAAAGTGGGTGTGTGGGGTCTCTAACAATGCTTTGAGCTCTAAGCACATAGCGCTTATAAGCAGCATCCTAAATACCAGGGAGCGAGCTTCCTATGATCTTCTCAGTTGTCCTTACCACTCTCTGTATGGACTTTCTATCTGAGGCACTGCTGCCACCAAACCAGACAGTGATGCAGTCTGTAAAAATGCTCTCAATCGTGCCTCTGTAAAAAGTGGCCAGGACAGAAGGAGAAAGATATGTTCTCCTCATCCAACACAGGAAATGCAGACACTGGTCATTAGGGAGTTCACTATTAGAGTATATGTAATATTACATAAAGTTTCTGTTTAACTCTTTTTCCATTTTGTCGTCAGAAAAGGTATGTCTCAACTGGGCTAAGTATGGAAACATCTTTAAGTAGCCATCCTCTCCTCTCCTACCTGGCACTAAGTCCCACAGAACAGAACATAAATCAACATGCAAATGTTTGAACAATTCATTTTTGGAAAGTATTTCCTTTTAATCAAAGTCATCTTTCTAAAAGCAAAAGTGTATTTCATTATTCTCTGTACATCACATTTGCTAACTAAAAACTATGTCCTCATCTCAGCCATGCCTCCCAAACCAACTTACGTCCTCTTGTTAATAAACCTGGTAAGGTGAAATTTCAGAGTTATTTAGGTCTACACTGTTTTTTACAAGGAGCTCAAAATTGCTTCTTTGAGTCATAGCTTTTCTACTTATTTATAAGAACATCACACTCTTTCAGTTGGTATTATTATGAATTTAGTCACCCATATTCTCTAGGCCTTAAGAAAGGCCTAAGAACTACAGTACAATTCATTAATATTTTGAGTAAAATTTCTGTCATCCTTAGGTTACTCCATTTTTTCACTTTCTTATAATAGGATGAGATAGTTACTCAAATGGTCCTATAATTGGAGAACTCTATAATAGCCCCCACACACACCTTGACTGCAAAACATTCTATATCTCATTTCCAGCAAGTTCAACTAAAGAATGTTGCCTTTTTATTTATAAGAACTTTCTTTGAACCCTGGACAAAACCCTGGACAAATGTTTCCAACAAAATGCACATATTATAGGGATAAGGGAATAAATAATACATGGCAGACCTTAGGAATACATTTATAAAAATTAATAAGAATACAAATGATTTTTTATGAAGGAAATGCTGGATTTGGCCTGTGAAGGGCCTTGTAGTGATTAAATGCTCATAAAATAAATAAGTAACTTTTTAGAGTTATTTCCAGTTCAGTTGAAGGCTGCTTAATATATTGTCCCCTTTAGTAGGCAGGTATATGGGTTGTGGTATGGTCACTGCAGACCATTGTTACAGAGTATTCTGAGCCATGCTTGGTTTTCCTTTCATTTATTCCTGTTGACAGTGATATGTCTCACTATGAACTATTAACTGGCCCCAGTAAAGGAAGAATTTAGCTATCCTTTCATTTTTTTTTCTCTTAGAACTTCTTTTGCTAGCATTGTGGTCTTGCACTTAAATGATTTCACAGTTCTCCTTCTTGAACAAGACATTTTCTTTCTTCCTTCTTCCTAATCCCAAGAAGCCTAAAGAAAGGGTGAAACACTTTAAAAAAAAGTGATCCAGCACAACAAAGTGATTTCGGCTGCTTTGTGAACAAAACATCTTAAAACATTTTCTAATGTGCACCAACAGGGATTTATGCTACCAATGCACTGCACTAACCCTGACAGGCAGTGTTAGTGTAATAGTTTTTCTAAGATATAGGCAGTTTTAATCTGCATCAAACTTTGGCTTTTAATTCCCTTTTCTTTTCATGCAAAATACAGATTTATTTAGGTCTTTGAGGAAAATCCTTAAGTCTGTATGAATGACTTACATTTTTCAAATGTATCTTTGGGTACTTCTGTTATCTTGGATGTCCAACTTGTCTGGAACGGTATAGAGTCTCCTGCCTGAGCAGGGGATTGGACTAGAAGACCTCCAAGGTCCCCTCCAACTCTCACATTTTGTTCTCTTTTTACATATCTTTAATACTCTTTAATACCTTAATACTCTAGAAAGAGTGCAGAGAAGAACAACAAAGATGATTAGTGGACTGGAGGCTAAAACATAAAAAACCAGTTGCTGGAATTGGGTATGTCTAGTTAATGAAGAGAAGGACAAGGGGTGACATGATAGCAGTGTTCCAATATATCGGGGGTTGCCACAAAGAAGAGGGAGTCAAGCTATTCTCCAAAACACCTGAAGGCAGGACAAGAAGCAATGGATGGAAGCTATTCAAGGAGAAAAGCAACCTAGAACTAAGAAGAAATTTCCTGACAGTAAGAACAATTAACCAGTGGAACAACTTGCTGCCAAAAGTTGTAAATTGTCCAACACTGGAAGTTTTTAAGAGATTGGACAATCATTTGTATGAAATGGTATAGAGTTTTCCTGCCTGAGGTTGGATTAGAAGACCTCCAAGGTCCCTTCTAACTCTGTTATTCTATTCTATTCTATTCTATTCTATTCTATTCTATTCTATTCTATTCTATTCTATTCTATTCTATACATTTTAAAAACATTTCAGTATCATATAATTTAATATAGGTAGTCCTTGATGATTATGTTAATTGGAACTGGAAGTTCTATCACTAACCAATGCGGTAATAAACTATGACCTCATGTGACCATATTGACTTACAATGACAGTTACAACAGTTCCTGTTCCAGTTGTTAGGGACAATGTCACATGATCTGTTTTTGTTTTATTTTTTTATTTTTTATTTTTTTTCTTTCCCCATTCTTCCTTTATGGAAATTTAAAAAGGGTGATGCCAGGTTGAATTGGGCAACCATAGTTAAGAAAACATTAATAAAGGAAAAAATTAGAACTGAAGCAGCATGGTAAATATTTTATATACTGTGTAGTTAAACTCTCAGCTCACTTAGAAAAGAGGGTATAAATTTTTTATCGTCTGTAAGGGATAATCTACACTTCCCTATAAACAGATTGAATAGAATTGAATAGAATTTCATTAGGAAATATTTCAACTATAGTGCCCATTTTTTAAACTGATTACAAGATTTTTTTCATTATTTTTATTGACTTTTTTATTCTTGCCTTGTGGCTTTTTAAGACAGCGTGATGGTACTAACAAGTAGTTTATTGAACAAACAAGTATGAAAGACATTCATTGATTCTAATTGTCTGTCATGAATATCATGAGGAAGCATTTCTATGAATATTATCAGGGAATGTTTCATCCCACAATTGATCTTTTAGAAAGTTCAAATTAATATCTTGTCTAACGATGATGAGCCTTATCAATTGAGTGATTGCCAACATTAAAAAAGAAGGAGGGAGAAGAGGATTAAAATGTGTTGTCCCTATTAGATTTAAGTACTTATGGCCCCAAATCAATCAGATCGTAAACTGAGTAATGTTATTTCTGCCAAAACAATCAGTCAGGATTTATAATATATAGCTTTATCTGCTGAAAAATAATAGTATCATAGAAGTTTATAAAATCTAGCACTAGTGTGTTGCATACTCTCTGTATGTAAGTATTTAATCTACTCCTCTCTATCTCTCAAATATACATTCATTTACAATCTTTCACTCTTGG